TGATCAAAAATACACACACAAAAAAATTAATTGAGCCTTTACTGAATATACACAGACAGCTTACTCATTATTATTATAAAATATAACAAAAATTTACAAAGTATTTTCATTGTACTAGGTATTATAAGTAACTTACAGAGTGTTTAAAGTATAAAGGAGGTTCTATGTAATTTACTTGCAAATTCTACACTATTCTATATAAGGGACTTAAACATCTATAGGTTTTGGTATCTACAGGGTTGGGTTTTCTAGAACTAGTCCTTCATGGACACTGAGGAACAAGGGAAATGAATACCCCAATCCCTTTCTCTTCTTGCTCTCCAATCCCCTTCTAGTTCCTTGTAATTAAATCCAAACAAAAGTAAGAAAGTAAGAGGTCTTGGTCAAAAAACTACTGAAATATCTTCTTCCTGAAGTTCAGATCAGTATCAAGAAGAGTGAAGACAGGCAAATAGAAGATTCAACCCATGCATCTCAAAAGTACTAAGGTGATTCCAAGGCTGTCGGGGCTAAGCAGAATGAGTCCAGGATAAAATAAAAGAGAGAAAGTCTAAGAAATTGGAAGGGGCCAGATGGGCCTTAGTACTTTTTGAGAAATAACAATAAGTCTGTTGGTTCCCCTCTCATTCACATCTCTACTCAAATATTATCTCTGGGCCCTTCCTAACTCCTAAAATAACTTCTCTTCCCACAGTATATATCTGATAGCACATATTATTATTAAAATTTATTTATTTATTTAGTGCCCATGTGTCATTGAATATTCACTCAACTGATAGGGACTTCTTTTCTGCTGATCTGCATGAGTTTGTACATGGTAGCCAACCTAGGTATATTTATTGTCTTTCTAAATAAAATAATTTGCATAATCAAAGTTTTATATATATGTGTGTATATATGTATATACACACACACACCCATATAGAGAGACTTAACTTTATATATATAAAATGTGTGTGTGTGCGTGTGTTCACAAACATTTTTACAGCTATCGTCTTTAGCCTCAGCTTCAGTTTAGCCTGAGCCAGTATCAGACCTCTAACTTTGTCTTAGAAAAGCAGGGGTGATGGGAAAAACTGTGGGAAAAATCAGACTATTTCACAGAAATGCACATCCTTCTTTTTCATTTTTTTATACAAAGCTCCATAATAATGACCCATTAAACTAAAAATCAAGTCATTTTCTACTTTTATTTTTACTAGAGCAAAGAGTAGTAAGTTATAATATTCTAGAATTTATAATAAAAATGTCAAACCTTGATACATGCAGGTGATTTTACATAGTGAATCAAACAGGACTGTGGACTTGCGTAGATTAAAAATTGGATTTGTGGGTATTTCCACAAAGGCAAATGGATCAGAGATGAGTGAGGAAGAATCAATGCAAATGTGGATACAGTCAAGTGGTGGCCACATGTTGTGAGTTCCGGAGCTGAAGGACCTAGGCAGGGCCCAAACAAAGCTTTTCTCAGCCCATTCACATAACCAGACCCGGCTCCCACTAAGCCTCATCGTCACCTCCACCTTCCTGGGCCCCACTCAATGATGCTTCTTGTGACCTGATGTGGCACCAAATTTCCAGTCTAAGGATTCCCACAGAATTTTTTTGGCAACTTTTTTATGCCTCTATCATATAAAAATATTTTTATACTTCCATGCATCTATCCCTGACTCTAGAAGTCATGATTTATTTGGTAGAAGGGACAGGGTCCTATATTTCACCACACTCTCAAGGCTATGATCTTATTTCCTACGAAGTGCTCAAAAAGCACTTGTCAAATAAATGAATATTTCCAATGGAATAACTTTTCTCAATGAAAATTAATAAGCATGGAGGACCTATCTTCTATACAAATCAGTTTTCTAGAGGCAAAGATCTCAACAACCTCTCTTTAAATTCAAGATTTTACACTTAGAAGTCAAGAACATGTCACTCCCTTCAGCAATGCATGTCCCAGGTAGCCCAAGGCTCAGCCCCAACTGTAAGTCACCACCGAGTTCATGGTATCCACATCATGGTAATCAACAGTTCAAAGCATTTCAAAGCAATGATTCATGCCTTAGCTCTACCCATTCAAGGAATTTGAACCAGATTAGTTTTCTTACGCTCCCTGAGTGATAGTTTCCTCACCTGTAAAATGAAGACAGTATCCCTTAAATCACAGGAGCTGTGCATGAAATAAATGAGAACATATCTGTGAATTTTCTTTACAAAAATAATGGTAAAGTAGGAAATATACTGCACAAACATGAAGGATTACCATTATAGGAGTTGGCTATTATTCTTCTGCCCAGCAAGATTTCCTCCTTTTTGATCCAGGAAATAAATCTCCCCATCCAACACTTGGCATTGTCTCTGACCTGCTCTGGTGGTGTAACTGGCCTCTGCCTCCTGAGCTGCTTTTCCTCTTGTCCAAGGGAGATGCTTGATCATAATGTACAGGATTTGGAAACCAAAATTAAAGCAGTGCATTTTGTTTTGACGGGCAGGCAAAGAGGTCATGAAAATTTGAGAACGTATCACAGTCAGTTCTTCCACGTGGAATAAGGAGCAAGAAAAATAATCTGATGGCAAGGGAGAGGAATGCAGGAATGAGTGGACAGGAAGCAGATGTGCAAATGGAGATGGAGATTGAGACATCTGAGAATACTCACATTATGTGGGGCTTCGATTCCAAGAAACCCTGATTTTCGGGACTCCAGTGTGTTTTCCTTGGTATATGTTTGTTGGTTTATTTATTATTTAAACCTTGAGAATTGTAACCAATAATTATTATTTGTCTTTGATTTTCTATTCAGGGAAATATAGCAAATATAACAAATCAAAGCTCAGGGACTCCCTGATAGTCTACTAGCCACTAGCTTCTATGCTTAAATGACAAAGAGTATAAGAACAGAAAAAGAGTAGTAATTGGAATTTGATTTGTGTTAGGGTATCAACTACTAGGCTAGGGCATATGTCAGTGGTAAAGTGATTGCCTAGCATGAAGAAGGCTCTGGGTTCCGTTCCTGGCACCAGAAACAAACAAACGAACAACAACAACAACAAGAAAAATAAAACAGAAACAAAACAAAGCACCTACCTACTTTGGAGAGTTCCAAGAGGGCGTTGGGAGGAAGCAACACATGAGCTGTGTGTTGAAAGATGAATAAGAGTTAATGAGGTTAAAAGAGCTTACGTCAAAGACAAGTGCATTCAAAGTATTGGACCATCTTGGCCAGAGTTTTGAAAGCACATGGACGTGCAGGCAACTGCACTGGTTATATATTATGCAACAGAAGAAGGTGGGGTGTGCATATGTGCCTGAAGAGGCAGGAGCTGCTGAATGGCTATAAATGTCAGCAAGAAACTGTATGTACTTCATCTTTAATTATATCATCTCAGCAAGTGTGTAGGGGAAGGATGTCAGGAATTGGGTAGGAGGAAAGATGCTCAAGAACAGAGCCAGGGATGACTGTTTAGAGACGATTTCAAAAGTAATAAAAAAATTATGATGAAAACCTGAACTGAGAGAGGTTATTAGTAGTGACTGAGCAGATTCAAGCGAGTGTTCAAAGTTGCTGTATTTCAGACTTCTTTGATTGCATTTTGGGGTAAGCAAGATAAAAGTTCAAAGAATTATAATCAGGATTCTGGCTGAGAGACTGTGTAAACAGTGATGTCACTCATGGAGTCAAGGAACACAAAAAGAAAATCACATTTGCCAGGGCATCATAAGCCTGACTTAAAATATATAATTTTAAAGTTTCTCTGATATACCCAATTAGAAATATTTACCAGAAATTTGCATTTATAAGTCTGATGCCTCAAAGACAATTTAGGGTTAGAAATACAGATATAGGTTGATTAACTATGTAGGTGACACTTTGAATGGGTTAGATCCTCTGGAAATATAGAGTGCGTGGACTTATGCATTGAGGTTAAATCCTTGGAACAATAGCATTTAAGGCACAGACCAGAAAATAGGTGTCAACGAAAAAGGTACTGGTCAAGACTATTAGGTCTATCAGAGTTAAGGTGGATAAAATGTTCATTGCATTTGCCAAATAGAAACTCACTGAGATCTTACCCAAAAGGCAGCACTAGTGGATTGGTGGAGAGAGAAGGTAATTGCTTTGGGTTGCAAAGTGAAGGTGAGCTGAACGAATTAATCCAGCAAATGGAATACACTGTTCTTAGAAGGTTGGCTATAAAGAGCACATGAGAAATGTTAAAAGTGGGCTTTAAAAGAAAGAGGTCCAGAAGATGGCCTCCTGGGCAGCAGTGGCAGTGATGCTGTGGGTGATTTCTGGTGAGCAGGGCTAGCAGGGTTGGTGTCTGCTATAGGTGTCTGCTATGGTGCTTGGCTGCTTGTGGATCCTCACATACCTCATCTACTGATGATTTCAGCATATTCTTGGCTGTATGTACCTGACTCTGGCTCTATATTCACTTTCTTTTTTTCTTTTTTTTTGGTATTGGGGATTAATCTCAGGGCCACTTGACCACGAAGACACATCCCCAGCCTTATTTTCTATTTTATTTAGAGAGAGGTTCTCAGTGAGTTTCTTAACACCTCACTTTTGGATAAAGTTGGCTTTGAACTTACTATCTTCCTGCCTCAGTCTCTTGAGCCACTGGGATTATAGGCGTGTACCACTGCACCCAGATAAACTTTTTTTTCCCTTCTACTTAAATAATCTAAAGTTATTTTATTCTGTTTGCAAACGAGTTTAGTCTCCAAGGTCTAGACAAGTGAAATCTTACTATCAAGGATTTCTTTTAGGGTTCAGAAATTCCAATGCAAACTCTGAGACCTAAATTATCCAAAAAGATATTTGTGCTCTCTCACCAGTCTGGACTTCTTTCTTTTGTTTATCTCACTGTTTTTCAACTACCCAAAGGATCAACCAACTTATGAGGCAACCAGCAAATACAGTTATCAATTATTTACTGATCTTCTTTTGTTCAGTGCTACAAAGACTGTAGGGAAGTAACAGATCAAACTTCCCTTTATCCAGGAGTTCACAGAATGGCTGGGTGGATGAACTCAAGCTATCAGAACCAGCGATCAGCCATAGTGTGGACACTGGATATGATCCCTCCCTGTGCAGTGAGTGCTCCTGCTCCTACTGTGTGTCTCCATGTTACCTCAGACGGCATCTGCATCCTGGTGAAGGCCAAGCAGGTATTCCTTGATGCTTCTACCACCCAGCCGGTGAAGGACAGAACAGCCACAAAAGGTACAAAGAAACTAGTTTGGGGCTCTCTTTTTATTCTCAGAAAGCACATAAGTGTCTTTGGAAAACCTCCTCATCTTCCTAGAACTGATCCAACTCCAATATATTTATTGCCAATGAAACAAAGAGTATCAATACAATTCCTGAGAACTTCTAGTGTTATCAGTCCTATTTCTACTACAGTTGGATTGAATAATGCTTTAAAATATTGATTACATACTTCCAACCATGAACTGTCTCAGTCTTTGTGTTTTCATTAGTTCATTACAGTTATACATAATATTGGGGTTATTTGGACATAATTTTACAAGAATGAACTGTAATTTGCTCCACCTCAGTCCCCAGTACTTACTTACCCTTTTCCTCCTTTCCTCCACTGCCGCCCCTCACCTTTACCCTTCCTCTACCCTACTAGTCTTCACTCTTATTTGATAAGAATAGCCTGGACAATAGTGTGATAACAAATAATTTATAAAATCTTAATGATTTAGCGAACTATTTCTTTTTTTCTTCTAAAATTCCTCTATAAACTAGTGGGTCTATTCGCCATCTGATGGTCTAAAGTACTCTATTCTTGACATCTCCAACACAGCACATGGCTTTTGGAGTTGCCACAGTAGGGGAAATAAAATTTGGAGGATTATGCATCATAGTTTAAATGCTTTGGCTCATAAAAAACTCATGCCATTTTTAAATTTTTTTTGTCCCTGATAATAGTAAAGAGGACTAAAAAATATGGGGGAGCTCATGAAATATCACATAAACATTATTGTCCCTTTTAAGACATTTTTGCAGATGAACTAAGACTTAACATACTTAGAAAACATAGAAAAGTGTTCCTTTGCTCTTGTATTCAACACTTCATATGATCTTTTTAAGGGCTACATGTCTAACTCTGTGCTGGATGTCAAAGATAATAACTACTAGGGTTTCTCAAAGTTTAATGTCTAACGTGGGATGGAAATCATATACAGTCACACAACCTAGTTAATTAATTACTAGTTACTTATACGATTTATTTATTTACAACCTAGTCAGGAGAAAAACAACAGCTGCTTGACGTTTGTTTGTCTAATTATACTTCCTTCAGAATTTTGCTTAAAAATATTTGCTGGTCCATGAAGGATTCTGATAGTCCTCTTCAATAATGCCCAATGCTCTCCGTTCCAATTAAATTTTCTACAAAATACTTACTATACTGCTTAAAATAAGTAGTATATATTTTGTCTATTGTCTCATTCTACGCAATGCATTGTATGTTGAAAGATGGAAAAACATTTTTGTTTTTAATTCCCAGCTGTTTCATAGTCTCACAATAATACCTGGGGTATTGTAGGCTTAATAAATATTTATTGAATTATGTGACTGAAGGAAATTATCAAAATATACAAGAGGAATGATGAACTGTGCAATTTTAGGAGAGAGCATTACTTTCGGAGGCCTGTGGGGTCAGGGATGGTTTGATGAATAAACCAGACATTAGACTTGCTGATGTGCACAGTGGCTTTCTGGAAAGAGCAGGAGAGCACATCAAACTATGGCATTGCCATTGAGATGCGTAAGCCGCTGGTTAGCTAAGAGCGCGGAGGACAAATCTGACCGAAGGATAATTTTTCTGTACCTTCCATGACTACGTAATTTGCTCACAGACCTGAAAGCGTGACATGAAATTACCATATTAGAGTCAATCAGAAAGTTTCCAGAAACTCCCCAAGATCCCAAGACAGCAGGAATGCTGGGATGATGTGCAACTTCTGTTCACAGAGAGAAAGCCCTGCACATACCGTCACCAGTCAGCAAGCTCCCAATTCTGTGGAAGGAGACGTGGGTGATTTTTTGTTGCTCATGTTTATTCTTTTGTTTTTGAGAACACAACAATGAATTGTCTGGAAATAATAAAGACCTAAGTATCTCTCAGAGGACAGCAGGAATTGTCATCTCCTTTCCTGAGCACTCTCTGTCTCTGGGACACACACAGAGAATTCTCTACACAATTTTATTTAGGGAATAGATGAATTTGCCAAAAATCAATTACCCGAATGTTCAGTGTGAAAAGTGCTTTGTTGAAAATAGAAATATCCCAATTGTAATGTGTAAGAGGAATGTATAGCCATGCTTATAGTTTTTAACAAATTGTCCTGATATTCGGGCCCAGAACACAGTAGTCACACAGTAAGTATTCATTGGCTGAAAATCTAAGTGAAGACAGGTAGGCAAAATATCTCCAATACCGACTCCTTTGAAAAGTCATGCACCTGTGTCAGAAGGCTGAACAGCAGCTTTCCATAAGATGGTAACTTACGTTGAAGAGTGCTAAGTGGTATGTTCATTTTTTTTTTTTTTGTTTCTGGTTTATTGTTCAGAAACAATAGATACGCATTAACTGGTTTTATTTTTACACTCGAATTCTGTGCCCTTTGTGTAAGATGTAGAAGTTAATTGGCAGCTAACTCACTCTGATGACAACTTTGGTGTGCTTGAGGGACATATTTTTGTAAATTGCCACATTTTTTATAGGTTTTTACCATGACTGGTTTACTTATAGCTGGTTATTATGCTTCAGCAGGATTCACTACTCTGCCCTGCACAGATGATAGGGTAGAAACTCATGTTCTCTCACTTCTTAACAACAATAATAATAACAATGTATGTGCAGTGTGTGTTTTCACAGCACAGCAAAGAAAGAAGAAACCCAAGAGAGCCCACACCCACACAGCCACTGGAGCATTTACTGTGAAACTAGAACAAAGTGCTATAATTTCTGAGATGCTGTTAAAGGCATCTTGCCTTAGAGAGAGGCACTGGAGAACACACATCCATTAGACATGAACTCTTGTTAGATCTACAAGGGGGTTTCTAACAGAGGTCAATAATGTTGTTTTCAGGTTGCTTTACACCTGAAAGGAATTACAGCGGGTTTGTTCAATCCCAAGGAACTGGGCTCCCAGTGGATACGTTCCCAGTTCTGAGATCACTCAGCTACTTTCATTTCTGATTCCAATGCTGACTAGAAACTGGGAAAAATCACTTTCCTTTTCAGGGCCTCCATTCTTTTGTCTTTAAAAATGTGGAATTTATGACATGTGAACTTTGGGTCCCCAAATGAATCCTTCTTGAAAAAAAAAAATCTCAGCTAGTGTGTGCAATGGGGAAAGATAGGAAAAGTGTGTATTTCAAGGTATGTTTGTTAGTAGGCAGTGGAATTTGGTCCTTTTTGTGAATGTGTATGGCACATGCCATGAAGAGCTTTCTCAATTCGTGGGAAGAGGTGGCAGAAATGACAAAGGCTTCATGCTCCAGGCTCCTGAGAGTGCAAGGGTGTTGAGGGCCACAGCCGAGTTGGGATGACGCATGGCATTTTTGCCAGAAGTAGTGGTTGAGAGGTGACGCTAGCGAGCCATTAAGATGATGAGTTTTGAGTTCAGGCGGAGTTCCCGTTGAGTTCCCCTTGAACTCTTGCAGAGATTCCTGGAGAGTTCCCATTGCTTGGGGAAATGCTGGAGGAGGGATAGTTCCGGTTGGTGGTTCCTGGAGGAGCTGAGTGGCATTCGGGAGAGTTCCCGGAGCCTGTGTGGAGTGTGCTGGTGGAGTTCAGAAATAAAGTTTGTTCCTGCTTCAGTGGCTTGTGATTTGTGCCCAGCCAGACTGCGGCACAAGGGGATCCAGGGAAGGTGGTCTTCCCATTTATAGAAGTTACTTATTCAACTTTCCTGGTTAAGGATTGAACTATCCTGACAATCAGTAGCATTTACACTATTGAAATTTGCTCTATAGAGCTTAATTAAAGAGTGGTTATTTTGGCTGGAAATTTTAACTAAATGATAAATGGACCATCTACCTTCCTTTTCATGAAAGGAAAGATGACATGGTTAAATCTTTGTCAGTAGCTAGGAGTCTTCCCAGGAACATCCACCAGTGTAAGGCAGCAGTGACGCAGCTGGGTTGCCAGTCAGCTTGCCCTCACACCAAGCATTTCCTTTCCAGTTCCATCAAGGCAGAGACCAAAGAATTCTCTACCTTGTGCCCACTCCCAATTTTTCCACATCCTACATGCTTATGTGCAGATGAGAGAGGGCGGCATCCACATTTTTCTTTAACTTCCCAGACATTCATTTCCAAATTGTCAGGAGACACTGAACAGCCCGGGAAGCTCTGCTTCTGCAACTGAAGATATTTGCTAAACAGTTTCATCATCTCCATCGTCTAGCACAGTGCCAGGCACACAATTCATAAAAGATGGACTGAATTTAAAAGATACATTGAGTTGGGCTAGGCACAGAGGTGCCCACTTGTAATCCCAGAAACTCAGGAGGCTGAAGGAGGAGGAACCCAAGTTCAAGGCCAGCCTCAACAATTTAGTAACTCTCAGCAATTTAGGGAAATCCTGTTTCCAAGTGAAAAATAACAAGCAGTGGAGATGTAACTCAGTGACAAAATGCCCCTGGTGCCAATCTCCAGTATCAAAATTAATAATAACAATAATGACAGTAACAATTAAAACAAAAAACATATTGACTCAGAAGAGATGTAGCAATTATTATCTTCTGTTAACTTAAAAAACTTTCTGATAAACTAGCTAGATTGCATGGTGGTCAATTCACTAGTTTAAGTTCATATGTTTAATCACTATGTTAACTTTCTTATGTCTCTGTTATAATCTCTTTGGAATCTTTCTTGCTGCAAATTTGATGCCTTGTATCATTAGTCACCTTGAAGTTTGTCTTATTATCCATCATTCCAAATAACCTGAAGTGTGCATATAAACATCCTTGAACAGAGGCACAACGTGATATCTGAGCCTGACATTTGAGGCTTCATTTTTAAATTTACTTACATTGTAATGGGAAAGGATAACATCAATTAATAATGTAAAATGTAAATGTAATTAATAACCATGAGCACACATCAGCCCCATGAAAGGCCAGTCCCTACCCCTCGTCACTCTGCCCCCCCCACCAGACCCTCAATTGTGGTTATTATATTCCTTTAAATTCTAAAACTGCAAACATGGCACTTCGTTATAGTGTGATTTATTACTCCAAACCCAAGCTCTGCTGAGCCCCTCTGGTTCATTATTAATAAGGTACCTCTGAAGTCACCATCAAATCTCAACAAGATACAAGGTTTGAGAGTGCTG